TACTATGCCTGGCTTCTGTTGTTTTAAAGCATCTCTAAGTATGTGGTCCCATGCTTTTGGTTTGTCGTCAAGGTCTGACACTTTCCTCACATCGATCAACTTTGCTGTTTGTATATTCAATATAATTCTTTATCTCCAGGATTTGTTTGGCACCTTTCAGTGTACTCCATTTCTTTAGTAAATATGTCACCATGTTTTGAATGGTTTTAGTTAGGTCTTCTATTTTGTAGTTTATTCTTCAATAACCACATTGGTCAGTTTGTTAATTATTCCACTATGTTTGCTTATATCATTGTTGAGCTTGCTGAGTTTCTTTGCCTTCTCTTTAATCATTTGATACAGTTCAGCTACTTGGTATTTGTGTACATCTTCATTGGTGCCCTCTGGATCTGCTTTGGGGGAATTGGGAGTCTTTGGAGGCATTTTTCATGTTCCCATCTGTGTGTGTGTGTGTGCATGCACATGCATGTGTGTGTGTGTGTGCGCACTGGGGGTTGAAGTCAAATAGAATGAAGAGACTTTGTTGTTGGCATGGAGATCTCTTTAGGTTCCATTTTCCAGTGACATCATCTTAGCTTTATTTGTCAAGAGGTATTTTCTACCACTTCAATCTGTTCAGTTTAATTGAGTTGGACCCTGTTACTGTACTATAAGGATAGAGTTCCTACTGAATATTAACAGTGTCCACAGATCCAACATCAATCCTGAACATCAAAACTTATTTTGACAATTTTGCCCTTTTATCAATTTGCCTTACAGACTATATTGTACTGCTATTAGTGTTTAGGCTGCAATATAGAGGGAGAGGGAAGGAAAGGAGAAAAAGATGGGGCAAGTCAGGAAGAAGAGAGGGAGATAAGAGAAGTGCCAATAGGTGAAAACCAGACAGGTCAGGCTCTGTTGAAATTACTTTTACCATTGGAGTAAAGGGCTAATATTGAGGGAGTTTGAGAGAATATTTATGGAAGTGGGAGGAAGGATGCAGACAGGACTGAGTGTAATCAGAGATTGAAGGAAGCTGAGAGGTTGTCAGAATCTGTTAATATATTTATAGTTAGGTGGTTTTGTTGTTGTTTAGAAACAGAGTCTCACTCTGTAGTCCAGGCTGACCTCAAACTCGCAGCAGTCCTCCTGCCTCAGCCTCCCAAGTGCTGAGTTTACAAGCATGTGCTACCACACCTAGCATTTGTTGCTAGTTTTGCTTGGGTCCTCTATTTTGGTATGATTTTTTATTTTTTTTGGTACTGGGAATCAAACTTAGGACCTTGCGCTTGTCAGGCAGGCAATTGGGCCACTGAGCTAAATCCCTGGCCCTGCTTGGGTCCTCTAAGCACAATTCTGTTAAGGTTTACCTGGATATGGTCATGAATGGTACCACTTAAGTGAAAGCACTAGTCAATTCTTACTCTCTCTTGCACATATACAGGTGCTATATATGTCACATAAAAGGTGGAGAGAAAGAGAAGGAAGATAAGGGTATACAGAAAATCAGGAATACTGAGGAAAAATGAATAGGGAGGAAGGAAGGTTAAAAAGAGAAAAAAGATCAAGTAAAGGAAAAAACTTAAAAAATAGAAAGCAAAATAAAAAATTAATAAAGAAGCAAGAGCTGGAGAAAGCAAGCAAGCACAGAACAAGCAAGGAAACAAAGTAAAAAGCTCTTACACAGGGAGCACAATTTCCTTTGTGGTATGGTCTCAGGCTGACTGCAGGCCTCTAAGCTAGTTTCTCCCTTGTAGTCTGCTTGTCTGGGAGTGGTAAGGGCTGTTGGTCTCTCTGGACCCATTTCCTTTCTGCAAGCCATGCTTAGGGCATGGCTAACTACAGACCTTTGTCTCTGTCCCAAGAACCAATAACCACATTTAACTTGGGAAGAAGAGGATGTAGTGTAGTTTGCTTAACATTTCTCTGTCCCACCTTCCGCCAGGGACCTCTGACTTCCATTCCCTTCACTGCAGAGCAAATCCTAGAGTCATCACCATGCTCTCCCTCCAGGGGCCTTCTGTTCATTATCATCACCAGAAGCCCTCTGCCCCAGTGGCTGTTTCTGTCCTTTCAGCCTCAGACCTTTATCTGTCTCTGGTCTTTGTCTCAAGAGATCTGCTTTTGGACCTGCGGAACTTGGCGCAGTTCCCAGGGTCAGCAGAGGGCCTCCTTTCCCTGTGTGGGGCGGGGGCTGGTGCCTGGGGGATGGGCAGGCTATCATGCTGTCTCAGATCTTTCTGGTGTTTGGGGAAACAGTCGGAGTTTGCCTGCTCTGGCCCTGCTGAATCTCTCCTCCTCCCCCATGTCTCAGGGTATGATGTGTGGCTCCTTGCCTGGGAGACTTGTGCCACTCACAACTCCTGTAGTTCAGTCTTTCTGTGCCTGGGGTGGGGGGCTTTCCTCGATGCTGAATGGTGGGCACTGGCCAGGATCCTTCAGTGACACAGTGTTCACTGAGTTTGGGCAGATGATGGGGGGAGGGATTGTCTGTTTTTGTGTTGCTGTCTCTTCCTTTTCTCTGGTGGCAGTCTAGGCTTCCCTGAGACCTTAGCTGTGGTTATCTCCCACACTGGATGTCCTCTTCTAGGTGGGAGGCAGAGTATGTAGGGAGCCTATCCCAGGAGTCTGGCTTCTGCAGTGTAGGCTCCTTCCCATGATTTGTCTTGTCTTACTTTCGTATCTCCAGACTCTTCAACAGTGCTGGGCATGGACGAGGGACTCCACAAGTACTTGCCAAATGAATGACTGATATTGAAGATGCAAGAGGACTGCTGATGGTTGATAGGGAAAGTCTGGAGAGGGTGGGAGGCAAAGGGATGAAAAGTGTAGGTGGAACAGTTGATTTCAGCAGGGAAGAGGACCATTTATTTCTGAGATGAGTGGGAAAGGGGAAGAATAAGGTGAAACTAGAAACATTTTGATGTGCTGGGAAGGAAGCTTGGTTCCCAGTGTGGCAATGCTGGGGTAGTGGGAACCTTTAAGAGGTGAGCCCAGTAGAAAATGTTTGGATTACTGGCTATGATGCTGTCAGAAGGGATTATTATAGTTCTCAAGGGACTTGAGTTCCCATAACAAGGGTTGTTACAAAAATAGGGTCTTCCCCTCGATCTCTTGCTTCTTGGGTTGCTGTGTGATTTCTTCCTCTCACAGTGCTCCAGCCATGATGACATCTACTGTGTTGTGGTATAGGCAGCAGGTAATCACCAGATGCGAGCAAATGATAGCCCCATGCTTTTCTTTTCTTTTTTTTTTTTGTTTTTTTGAGACAAGGTCTTATTATGTAGCCCAGGCTGGTCTTGAACTTGTAGTGATTTTCCTGCCTCAGCCTCCCAAGTACTGGGATTACAGGCCTGGGCCACCATGGCCAGTCCAGGCTCGATGCTTTTAAACTGAGCTAAGTAAACTTCTTCTCTGTGTCAAGTCTCACGTGTTTTGTTACAGCAAACACAAAATGGACCAAGATGTGGATATACCTTAAACATACATAATTTTTATCAATTATATCTCAGTAAAGCTGGGGAAAGATATAGAAATTAAGGCATACTAACTTTTGTCCAATGTCATACATCTAGGAAGTGGGAGAGCTGGGATCTGAACTCAGGCAGTTTTGTCTGTTGGAGCCTATGTAAAGAACAATTCCAGTTCCCTGTCTCCGCAGTCGTCATGGAGCAGGCATGTGAAGGGTCAGCAAGACAGGAAGAGAACTATGGAAGCACACATGGCTGGTCTAGGGAAAGTCAGCCAGGATCCTGCGACAGGAAGTCAAGGAATGGCTCTCCCAAACATTTCCTGATTCCACACTTGCAGTGTGTGGCTTTGGATTATTAGACAATACCAAGAGCCAATTCTTCAATTTGCTTTGCAATCCAGAAAGTCCTAATGGGCTTGCTGTACCAGAAGCCCAGAAGCTGGGGGTGCATTTTCCTAACTTCAGTAAAGGATGGCCACTGTGTCTGCTGCAATGTAAAAACTGCTGGTGTCAGTCTCCATGAGTGGGGGTGTGGGAGAGGTCATGCTCAGACGGAAACACTTACTTCTGCCAAGCCTCTGGGTGGAGATAGAAAAACTATTCCTGACAACACTGAGTCAGCACATTCATCAGAGTCAAGCTCATAGCTGGAAGGAACTGGAAGAGCACCCTGGTTGAGAAGAAACCTCCAGCTGAGGCCTCCTTAATCTCATAGAGAATGGAATCAAAATCCACAAGTTCATAATAGAGATTGATTGGGGAACAAAAGGACCCTGCTCCAATCAGAGGTACCCTCTCAAAGTGTTACTGAGTTCGAATTAGAGCCTCTCCCCACAAAGTACACTTAGGTACTCCTCATCCTAAGAGGTAATAAAAGTTCAAAACCGGTTTTCAAAAGTTGCAAAATGGATTATGTGAAAACAGAGTAATTACAGATGGGTCCTCCCCAAATGTGTGTGTCAGGGTTTGTCAGATTTCTGCAGCTGAAGGGATCATGAATCTGACAAAGTGTGACATTTATATGCATAAAGCACCAACATCCAGCCAGGTGCAATGGTGTGTGCCTGTAGTCCCAGCTACTGGGGAGGCTGAGACTGGAGTATTACTTAAGCCCAGGAGCTCACGGCCATCCTTGGGCAATGTATCAAGTCAGTCTCAAAAACAATCAAACAACAACAAAAAAATCAGCATCCTTTCCTTTAATGAAATTATTCTGCTGCCTCGACCTTTTGCATTAAAATAAAAGTACTTGGGTTGCCTATTTTCATAGTGTGATTATTTCATTAGCCTCTGAAAATATACGACTTCTCATTTATGAGGGAAAATACCCTGAATATTCTTTTTTAGTCCTGAGGATCAAACCCAAGGCTTTGTACATAGTGCTCCACCCCTGATACGTGCCTCCACCCTGAGAATTCATACGATATTTCCCGGTAAGGTAGGTGATGACAATACAGGCACAGCTGATGGGGACTCCATGCTGCAAAGTTAAGCAGCATCCAGTGACATAAACTCCTTCCTTAGCTCTTAGGAAGATCACACTGACTTTTCACACAACATATATTTATTCAGAAAAAAATTTGCAATAAATTATAATAAAAAAGATGACACGAAATACAGAATCCCACTAGCAGCTTTGCTTAGTGACCAAGACGTTTCTGGGAAATATAACAAACAATCACAGAATAAGAATCAGAAAATGGTAAAAGACAGACTAATGCAATGTCACCCCATGGGTCTGAACCAATTCTCTAAAATGGTAGGTGTAAAGGCCTCCACTCCTACCAACTAGATCTGAAATCCTTAATTCAGAGGAACTATGAAACAGTACCTTGGAAGATGCAGGAATTAGTGACTGGGGTGTTGGGGCAGGTATGGTAGGTAAGCAGATGTTTTATGTCTGGTTTCTGTCTTGTCTCCCCTAACTAGAGATGGGAGGTCTAAAACCCTCCACCCTGTATATATCCCAAGATGAGCTGGGCCAAAGGCTGAGGCAGTAAACCAACTTAGTGCTATGACTTGAGAAAGTAAGAGAGGGCACGGTGTGCATGCTGCACAGGGCTTTACTAATCATGCCTTTGGTCACTCAAGACATCCAGTTGTCAAGATACTAGAAAACGCGCCCAGGAAAGGCATTTTCTGTGTTACAACCTTGCCGCAGCTCCTATCTCCTTCCTCTTTCCATAAACACTGTCCGGCCTAAGCGATACAAAACTTCTGCACTCCATCTTCCATTAGCTAAGTTCACTACCCAGCTCCTGATCTAGCAGGTCCTCAGCTACTTGGCATACATAATTTGATTACTATTCTATTTCTCTAACCCCCAATCAGGAAAAGACTTAAACAGTAAATCACAAGATACATACCTTTTCTTCCCCAGGGAACTCAACTTTCAAGAGACAGGGGAACTGCAGAACCATTCAATGGTAGAGTGGAGTAGCCCCTGGCCCTCTCCTTGGGTGAGCTAGAAGAGTCCTAAGACTGCACATAGAGTCTGTACATGATGCTCCTGGTACCTTCTGTTAACACAAAAATTACTCAACTTGGGGTGGCTTTAATGAAAGAAAACCAGGGGAAGCCAGTTTTGCAGTCAGTGGCTGGCGGCTTCTTTGTCAACCAATAGATTATTTTTTTAAAAAGGCTGTCCCACAAAGCTTGAACAAATGAAAAGCTCAGAGGGTCGTCTTGAGTGGGAGAGGTATGGTGTGTAGTTGGTCCCACTTGTCAGGCTCTCTTACGCAGCACTGGACACAGTGACCGGGGGCCAAGGGGAATCTCTGTATCCTTTACTTGAATTAGCCGGACGTGGGGCCCAGAGTCAGCCCTGCTGAGGGAGGAGGGAATATCTGCCCCTTGGTACTTCAGAAGATTGGAGAAGGGGTTCTGGTTCTGACAGTCATCCTCAACACTCTTGCCGAGGGAGGTGCAATAATTCCAAAGGGGCTTGCTTGAAGTACACAGACTCCCTTGTTTACTGTGGTGTGTTGCTTTGAAGGTGGACTTCTAAGTAGGGGATAGGTCTCCTACTACCCAGCATTGATCCTCATGTAAAATGTAAGTAATAATACAAAGGGAGAGCAGGAAGCAGGATCTGTCAAAAATGAATACTTGTACTCTTAAAATACTCAATGTGCTTCCATTTTAATTGTGATTCTCTTACACTGATGAGATGTTATCTCTATAGTCCCTAAAGTTAGATTACTAACTGTGATCTGAGACAAGAGAATATGGTTCCACCTAGAGTAGATCCAGGAAAAGGCCAATGTTACAGTGACATAGATGCCACTGTAGTAGAAATGCACAACTGTGTGTAACAACCACATGTGGACAGTGAATTCACTGTTGCGGACACCCAAGGAGCCAAAGTCTTACCCAGGATTCCTTCAAAGTGATAGACTGAGTGAAGGGCAGTGCAAAGGAGTGATATATGAAGGAAGTGGGTCAAAAGTGCTTTATACAAAGGACTGTAGACAAGTCTTGAGCTATAGCAAAGTAATGCTTTTAGGCCTAGAACGGGAAAATCTCAGAATCTAGGCCTAAGGTACTAAGGACAGTTTTGACAACCTGGCAGGAGGCAACAAACACATCCTTAGGTACAAGAGTATAAATACTTCTTTGCCTTATAAAGAGAAAACAAAAACACCAAAATATGGTAACTTTGGCTTGGCAATATAAGTCTAAAAGTATTTTGCTGTGTAGGATATGGTTAAGGAGGGATTAGGAAACTCTTCCTTTTGCAATATTAACAGAACTTGAGATTCCACAACAGACCCTTCCTGTGGCATGACTTTTCCAATCATTCTGAAATACTTGGAGCCCAAGATCTTCCTCCTCTAGAATCTGAGAGAAGAAAAGACTTAGTCTTCATCGCTCCCAAGCAGAAAGCCCAGGAGGAACTGGATGGCACGCTGGCGGTCACTTGATGTCTGTCTTGCCATGAGGTTGGGAGGAGGCCTTAGGAGAAGACTAGTGAAGAGAGTAGCTAGAGGGCAAGAGAATAAAAAGAGGACCTGTCAGACATGATCTCAGCAAACACTCAGGGTTGGTGCAGCCAGAGAAGGATAGGAGGAGGAAAGCGTCTGCTACATGCCTGAACGTCTGATAAGCTATACATTGTATACAATACATGCAGATCGCCCTCCACAAACACCCCTGTGTAGCCATTCCTATGAAGTACCCTTACCGATCATGGTAGCGCTGACGTTGTTGTATTCAGAGAACTTTAGGAGTTCGCGAAGGAATGCCATCAAGTAACGGAAAACATTTCTATGGCATCTTGGAAGCTGGGAAATAACCTGTTTTTTAAAGATGGACAGTGAAGAAAAGAGAAGTAAGAAGAACTTACAGCTGCCATAAAAGTAATTTATAATCCTAACTTTTCTGGCCCCATTCATCCATCACTACCCTCTATTACTTACTCATGACTGACATAATACTTGCCAATTGTAACTCTGAAGAAAGAATGGTCATATTGTTTAGTCCCCGTCTACTCACTGACCAGGCCATGCACACATCACAGACTCATACAAACACACACACACACACACACACACACACAGCCTCACAAGAAGGTACAAATGAAATAAAATAATAAAAATAAAATAAAATAAGCAGGTAGGTCTCAATCTGTTCGTCTCCTCTTTCTGCCATTAGGCAGCTGAGGCATTTGCCCAGGAGAGTGGCTTCTTCTACTATGTCATTTAGCATAAATAGGATTGCCTCTCAGTACTCACTAGTCTGATTTGCAAGTAGTCTCAGCTATTGTGCATCAAGATCATTTCAAGATTAAAAACACACCAAGAAGAAAAAAGAAGGTGGCTCCCAAATGTTACCCACCCTTTCTGATAATGTCAGCCAGAGCTGCGTGTACAGGTAGCTTCACCAGTCCCTCAGGGTAGAGGTATCCACCCCACTATGTTCTCTCTAAACAGAAATGGGTCGACTGGAAAAAGGTGACAAATGTAACAGGAAATAATATAGCCTAGAACCTGAGGGGCTCAACTCTCAATACTTGTGTCCTGACAGACGTAGATCTATCCTACTACATAGCTGGCTGGCTATCTGGCTTTGTAAAACTGATGATTTCTCTATGGGAGAACCTGCCCCAGACACATCCTCAGATTAGTAAAACTCACCTGTCGGCAGATCCGAGGATCATGAGCAGAGTCAAGACATCGCTGATACAGCTCGTAACAGATGACTGGCTCCGGCAAGGCTTCCAGGAAAATGAGCAGTGCTTCAGCCACAGAGTGATTACTGCCAGCTGAATCACCTTATGTCAAGGAAAAGGGGCTCCAGAAGAAAGGCCACGCATTTGACTGGCTCCTTTCCTGCAGGGAGGGCTTTTTTCTTTTATTCAGGGCACAATGATCCTAACCGGGGTTTGCTGTTGTATTGGTCTAGGTCCTCTGAAGCGGAGTTGTTACACAATTGGTCAAAGTCCTTTGTGAGGTTGGTCCAACTTCAGACTCAGGGGAATAAAGCCTGCAGAAGGACAGTTCCTGCTGGATCAGGCCTCTAAACTAGTTGCCAGTGGTTTCCATCCTTCTGTCATAATGGCAGTATATGTGCGGGGAGGGTGGCTGATTGCTGAAGGAGAACAGTACCAGTGCTACGGCTCCTAGGCTCCAAGCTTATTAATCATCGTCACCTACCCTTTGATTTCTTAGTAATAACAGCTTGACAAGAGAGGCCAAAAGTTCCTGAAAGGAACTGAGAAACTGGATAGTCAGTGCTTACCTTATAATAAAATACAATTGCAAAGAAAATAAATATACAAATAAAAATCAAATGTAGATGGAAAGAAGAGTTTGGTCAAGTACCAATCCAGATTTCGAAACCCTGGGCCGAAAGGATACGGATTGTCTCAGGGATGCTGGTATCCAGACAGTCGATAATCTGCTGTAACTCTTCCTGCATTCCAGGGGTTTGGAACAGGTCCTCCTACCATAGAAGTCAGAATGGCAACAAGGCAATAAGGCAAGATAAATCACCACTTAGGTTCTGAAGATTGCTCAGGGTTTAAGGGAGCTGTGGAGGTATGAAAATAACACTTTCCCCTATATCAGCTCTGTAATCCATGTAACATTTTAAGTAAGAAAATGGTCTTCAGCAGCTTTTGCTTATTTATGATAAGGCAGGGAGACAGACGGCTGGATCAGGAAAGCAGGTATTCCACTGCAAGCTTCTAGACAAGAAAGCAGAATGCTAACAGCATAATCATGTTGAAATACTGACACTACTGAACTTTGGAAAAAGAATAAATGCATATTTGTGCTAAACCCTGCATTCAAGTTATATTACTCTTCATTCAGTAGGTAAGAAAATACTACCTTTCATTTTGGTTCAAGGAAGTTCTCTTGTTTGGGTGAATGGGTTGAGAGTAGCTAGTGTTTTTGGTGGGATTTAAAAGGAATGTTAAGAACAAAGTAAAGAAACTGACTTGAAGTTTGCTTGGGATTTAAAACCTGTAATGACTCTATGACAGCATTATAGACTCAGGTCCTCGGCTGTCCAGGAGAGTGCAGAGCCAGGAGAGAGGTATTCTCAGTCCTGGTCCTGGCTCTGTCAGTACACTTAGACCATGGTCTTAGGTAAATCACTTAGCTCGCAGGCTTCAACTGTCACATCTGAATAGGGATGCTTCCATCTCCCCAGCTAATCTGACAGTGCTGCTGTGGAGGTTGCTCAGGCAAGTTATGAGCATTATGCTGGTGCGAAATATAATTTCTTACAGGACTTGCACACATTCTGAAGTTGCAAGGAAGGTCTACTCTTACTTACCTGGTGACAGGCATATCTGAATAAGTGATCTACTAAAAGCCAGATCTCCTTGGGGACCTGAAGGGGTCTCTCACTGGCACCTTCATCCAAGGGAACCATCTGTAGGAGGGATTTTTCCTAGTAGATGAAAATGGATGAGATTAAAAAGGGGTCTCAGAAGAAACACTTAATCTTCAAATGATGCTCATGTAGACACAATGTGATCTTCATCTCTTAAGATTTTTCATGTTTTTTCACTGGGGACATACCTGGCCTGAAGGCACTCCATATTGATTCTCATAGGTAAAGTATTTCCTTTCATAAATGCTTCAGTCACTAGGTATTTCATTCAGGTTTATGATATTTATCATGTGGGGAATTGTGTGTTCTAAATTTTTTCAAGGATGACATGGAGAACCAGTGCTTTAGTGATTCAACAGTCCACACACCACCAGTGACTTATGGACTATTAAATTACAATTGTCAGGACAGTACTTTGAATGACCATGTGTATACTTAGGTTTCAGTCTACTTTTAAATAACTCTCCCTTCATGTCTTACCACACATACTACTGTTTTCACTACTGCTTTAATTGAGCTTCTTTGGCTTTCAGGAATTAAAGATAACTCTCTACAGGAGGCCTACATACATCAGGGTTGATAGTCTACTCCCAGGGCAATGAAACTCATAACCTCAAGACCCAACTAATAATAAACTGAATATAGCATCTGAAGAGCCGGAAATCCCACAAAAAGTCTAAGGTCTAAATCCAAAAGTTATTGTTTATAATATCTCAGCAAATAATTCTAGGGGCTTTTACTCCTTTCATCTACCTTACCATCTCTTAGATTCTTTTGGAAGAATGTACGAGAAAAATTCAGAAGTGACATAAATCAGATCAACAACTAAATTTGAACTTGAAAATGGTTAGGGAGTAAACTGTCATACCTCATCTCTAAAAAAAAAAAAAAAAAAAAAAACTACCTTGTTACCTTCCATTTATGTAGTCAATTATAAATTACATAAAAAGACACCTAAAATAGGTTAAAAGGCACTTGAAGGCAGCTTTCAAAAAATCCTCGAGGAGAAAACCATGACAAATTTTTGCATCTTCCTCCCTTTTCTACCTCCAGATCATATATTATATATGTTCAACTTTGAGTAACTTTTGCCTAACATTGTGAAACCTGTAAATTCCTTCTAAAACCCCCAGCCATGCAGCTTCAAGGGAAAGAAAATGAACATTTCTCTATTTTCACAAATCACGTACAGTACAACAGTGCCAAGGTTCCTTCTTAACACTGTGTTTTTAATAAGCACTGATCACCTTTTAAGCCACTGTGCCTTTCTAAGGCACAAGGAAGACAAGTGAGCATGACAGTCGGTTACTGTTACATGTATTTGCATTTACTTTGCTTCCTTTCCCTGGGAGTCTATCACTTGAAATTCCTATTTGCTATGGTTGTCAGAATGTCTATCCCTGTTTCACCCACTGACCTTTTTCTCATTCCCAGTATTAAATGCAGATATCCACACAGTATCTGAGCCAAAACACTGTCCATATTGTACTCTGTTAACCTTCTGGACCGATTGCAATACATGTACGGATTCTTTAGTAGATACCTTCAAGTTTAACATATATAAATTATTCAGCACAGATGCATGTACTTTAAAAAAAACTGACAACTCAACTGGAGCTTTCCCTGTACTAAGGCATTAAAGCAACACAAGACAGTGTCCAGGATGGACAGACAGAACGTGCACTGCTCTTAACAGGGAAGGGCTGGGAAGCAGTCTCAAATCTTAGTGGTTTAAAAAGGTTAATAAAGTGTCAGTAGGTTATAAACATCACCCGTTACCCATTTTCAAATTCATGTGTGAGAATACTAAATGTCGTACTTGTGTCTCTAAAATCCAGAGAAAGATACGAGAAAACAAAACAATGCTTTAAAAAATTCCACGAATTATTCAGAACTCTGATTTTCAAAGGGAAACTGAGGGACTTTGCTTTCTTTCAACCAGGCACACTCAGTGCCTGCTAAGCCTGTACTTCATAACCTTAGTGCTAACCAAAGCCCGGAAACAGTGTACCACTCTACCATGAAGATGCCTTTGACTCCACCCAATGGGGATGTCCTACTATTGTATTAAAGTGTCACAGAACATTTCCCAATCCCAGGCTCCTCTCCTCGATAGCCTGTGTGGAGCTGGGCACATGCCAGTTGAAGATGGACAGGCTGTGAGGCACTGGAGAAGGCGCACCTCACTGGGCAGTCAGGAAACCTGGGTTCTAGTGTCCTCTATCTCATTCTCCTGCTGTCAGCAGTAATGACTCTCAGGCTTTCCTGTCTTTCTGGGCCTGGGCTGTCTTGTCTATTAGAATGGAGAAAATAATCTTTCCCTGTTTGAAGGCAGGGCACGAGACCAGATGATCTCTTACGAGCTTGTTTAGCTCCACAATTCTGTTCTATTATGCTCTATTTCTGGACTCTGTGAATTCTTCTAGTAATCACTATTATCAATAGCCCAGGATCACTCTTAATGCAACAGAAATGCATTCCTTTTGGTTTTACTACCACTGGAAACAGAGGTCAGCTAAGCAGCATCCTCTTCCAGCTTGTCAGCTCTCAGGTTTATCAAGACACCTCTGGGCTGGACATGTAGCTCAGCGGTACACTTTCCTAGCACGTACAAGGCCCTGGGTTCCATCCCTGACCCTGCAACAAATAGCCACCTCCCAAACAAGCACAAACAAAACAATAAAAGAAAGCACTGTAGTGATTTCTTAGCCGAAAAACACAATTTTGGTCAGGGGTGTAGCTCGGTGATACCACACTTGCCCTGGGTTCACTGCCCAGCACCACAAAAGCAAACTTTGAGTTGTACTGCTTTTATTGAACCGAGTCTCAGCAACTTGACTGGTACAGTAAACAGGCTTTAAAGACACCTGGCAGGACTTTAGGGGATTCTCACCGAGTCACAGGTCTCTGATATGGGCATGCCTAGGGACAAATTCCAGGGACCACAGTTAAGTGTTAAGCAAGCACAAGGAAACACTCATAACCACCAATGGATTGCATTACCTTTTCTAGGAAGCTGTCTTCTTCCTGAGAGCAGAGCAGGAAAAAAGTCAGTGATAGATAGAAAATGATTAGAATTAATTTGCAGAATTAGAAACAGATCAGTATTAGAACTCACAAGGTTACTAGATACATATGCTTTTAGGAGCTTTGACTTCTTAAATATGATGGCTAAAAATTGAACACATTCTCCATATGCAAAGTTTTGTACTGTGCAGTTTATTAAGAATATCACCCAAGAAACACACATCCGCTGGGCCAGACTTCTGTGCGCCCTGCCAGCTGACCTGCTAAATGCCCCCGGTGTCTGTTCCTATAGGTCTGCTGCTCTGTACAGCTTCTTAACTAACCCCAATGTTGTCTCAATCGAAGAATTTGCTTTTGGTACTGACAGTGGCTGTTCGGAAGCAGATGATAAACGGCTCTCCTGTCCATGGCCACTCCTTCTATCCCAGTCAGCCTTCTGAGCACTGTCCCAGCCTCCTTTCCATCTTCTCATATTCACCACCCCCCAAAGGGCCCCAGAGTTCCTAGAGTTGAAAGTTCTTCTGAAATTAATGAATTTTCTTTTAGACCATTGTGAATCAGAAGATCCATCATTACTTTATTTTCCTAGTGGATAAGATAAAAAGGAGTAGCATGGGAAAGGGAAGAGGCTAACTTTTTAATCCTTCTCTTTTTATTATTATTCCAATCCAATGACAACAACAGTAACAATTGCCATCACTACTTATGGGGCATCTGCGATATCCCAAGAACTGTACAAAGTGCTTATATACAAAGTACAATGTTATTTAAGCTGCACACAAGTACAAAGTAGGTATCATTTTAATTTTACAGATGAAGATACTGAGGCTCTGAGAGGTTAAATTATTTGTACAAGGTCTGTGTTAGTAGTAAGGGGCAGAATCAGGACCAGAACCTAGGTCTGACCAAGTCCAGAGTCGTTATCACCCTGTTCCCTTAGGACAACATAACTGCTTCTTGGATGGAGCGGCAGGAGAAAGCTGCGACAATATATTCGCTGTAACAGGCTGAAGGCAGTGAGAAACCTACTTACAAGACAGCATGGTTAACAGAAAGAGAATCGGCATTATGTTAGGCAGTCTTGGGTACAAATCTTCCTGCTGCATCTCGTTAATTCTCTATAGACGTCAGGCAAGTTACCAACTTCACACTGCCTCAATTTATTCATTTCTAAGACAGGGATAATAATATATACCTCACAGGCATAACGAAACAGTCTAAAATCAAGGGGTGGTGGGGCATACCTCCCCAGCAACTTCCTGCTGGGTTCCTTCTGTTCATGTTATGGGCCGCTAAGAACTCAAGTCTAAATCACATGTCTTGGGTCTGTAGGTGAAAGGAGAAATCTCAATGTCACTGACAAGCAGGAGGGCCAGAAGTAGGGACAAATATTATTCCCTGACATTCCAAGTGGTAATGCGGAATGCATTTTCCCCAAGCTGTTGTTATATGTGGCAATTAGGTTTTTTAATATTGTTAAATACATTATAAATTAAACACGCTTTTGTGGGTTTACTTAGGCTCTTAAATACCACATGAAAAAAAGTAATGGGGGTGACAGCTCTTTATAAAATAAAAATTACTTACAGTTTTGTAACTATAATTTACTTTTTAATGTAAAGTTAATTCTGAGTGCCAAACATCTAACTTAATACAATTTTGGACTATAACCTTGTATAAAATTTAGGAGTACTTGTTAATAAATAGAGAATTCCCCCGTCTGACAGACTTTGTCTGCTTCCTCCCATGGAAACAGAACCCATGATATGAGTAAAAGTAGGTAGAAATGTTATATACTAACCTGTCAAACAAGGCCCTGAAAGAAGTTTTCTCTGAGTGATCACCATCTACCAGTGCAAAGCACTGTGCTAAATACCTTTGGGGAGAGGGCAGTAAGAAATGAGGATATACAAAGAAGAAAGATGTGGTTGGCCCCTCACCCTGGCTTGCAATTGATCTGGGGTACGGAGTCCCAGAATTTCTGGCCTGACATTGTTATAACTCACATATACAATTTTTCAATAAATGGTTATTAGCCCCAAAAGAGTCACAGGACTTTTTTTTCATATTTCTGGGGATAGAACCCAGGGCCTCGTGCATAGTAGAGGTAAATATTCTACCACTGAGATATAACCTGTCCCCCAATTCACAGGAGTCTTAAAAAATGTTATTATAAATATATTAAAATCATGGGATATTGGTACATGTACATATTGCATTTGATTCTTTTTACTTCCCCTGCCCGTCCTCTCCCTCTATCCCCAGATCCCCTTCCCATCTCCACAAAGTCTGTCTCCATTTCCTAACATCTTTCTTTTATTTTGCTCTTATTTATACTTTGGGCTTGTCATATAAAAGAAACCACGAACTATTTAACCTTCTCTGATTTATTTCACAGGATTTTAAAGGGTAGAGATGAAGAAGGTGAAAGAGGCCAGTGAGGCAGATGAGGAGCAGGATAAATTTGTGGGAAGATAACTAAGAGAATGTGGAGAAAAACAGTGGGAAATAAATCTGACCAGTTTTCTCAGCACCATTTATCAAGGAGGCTACCTTTCTTCCAGTGAAGGTGTTTGGACCCTGTGTCAAAGATAAGGTAGCTGGGGGGTGTTTCTGCACCTTCTAATCTGTTCCACTGATCCTCAAAGTCTGTTTTTTTTTTTTTTGCCAATATCATGCTGCTTTTATCATTGTAGCTTTGTAGTATAACTTCAGGTCAGGGACTGGGATGCCCCTTGCTCGACTGCACAGGTAATATCACAAAGAATTAACATCTGGGGTCACATCTTACGGAAAAGCTTTTGTGCTGCAAAAGGAACCATCAATAGAGTGAAGGGACAACCTCCAGAATGGGAAAAATTTTTTACAAGGTGCTTCTCAAAGGACTAATACCTAGAATATAAAGAACTCAAAAAATTAGATCCTCCAAATTTAATGATCCAATCCAAAACATGGGTATCTGAAATGAATAGATACTTCTCAGATGAAGAAGTAAAAAGAGCAAAAAAATATGAAAAAATGTTCAACAACACTGATCATTCAAGAAATGTAAATTAAAACAATGCTGAGATTTCATCTCACTCCAGAACAAATGGCTATCATCAAGAAATCAACCAACAACAAATGCTGGAGGGACTGTGGGGAAAAAGGAACCCTAGTGGTAGGAGTGTAAATTTGTACAATCACTATGGAAACCAGCATGGAGATTTCTCAAAAAACTAAAACTAGAGGTTCCATTTGATCCAGCTATTCCTCTCGTAGGTATCTTTCTGAAAGAGTAAAGCATCATACCACAGTGACATACACACACCCATGTTTATAGCAGCACAATGTGTAATAGCTAAATCTTGGAAACATCCTATATGCCCATCAACAGATGAATGGATAAAGAAAATGGGGTATTTATATACAATGGTGTACTAAGTTTAAGACATTTTTAGGTAAGTGGATGTCAAGACTATAATACTCTTTTTTATTTTGAGACAGGGTCTCACTCTGTATTGCTGGCTGGCCTGGAACTCATTATGTAGCCCAGACTGCCCTGGAACTCACAGCAATCCTTTTGCCTCAGCCTCCTGAGTGCTGAGATTACAGGCATGCACCACCACGCCTGGCCTTGAAACCATAACCTTAAATGAAACAAATCAAACACACAAGTTTAAATATCACATTGTTTCTCTTGTTTGAGAAACCCAAATGGTAAATAAGGAGCAAAATGGAGCATAGATACTGGGAAGTAGAAAGAAAATGTTCAGCTGGGAAGGGGGACACGGGAGAGGGGAAGGGCAAGGGAAGGACAGGGAAAGGGATTAAAAAAAAGAGAATGGAAGGAAAAAAGTGGAAACAGAGCATTTGTAAATGGGGTGGGGAAGAAGGGTTGAAGGGAAGGGAGGGGAATGGGAAAAAGAACTAAGATATATTATGTATAGGTACAATTCCACATGGTGAATGTGAACATTATATAATACAAACATGTATCAATAAAAAATTAATGGATAGCATGCATGGGGCCCTCGGTTCCATCCCCAGCACTGAAAGAAAAAGAATGGATCAAAGAGAAAACTTTGAAAAGAGATTAAAAAGGACTTTGATTAAAAACAGATGCAAATTACACTTAATAAAATGCTAATCTCAATTCTGAAAACAGAAACATCACTTAACCTCCACTAATACACAGCCTACTCGTAAGGTGGTCCTAAGGTTACTACCAATCACTTTGTCCAGTGGACTTACAGGACAGAGATGCCCACCTCTGCAAAAGGCTATGTGCTGATTTCATGAAAAAAAGGGGACACAGTTCAGGGTTTCCCCAGTGGGACAACACCGGCACAGCACCACTGCAATGCGAATCATTCTCCATCCCAGCATTTACTCTCGGAAGGCTGTTCCCAGTAGAACATGCAGCCAAAATAATATAGAAGAGTTATTTAGAAAAGTACAAAACTGGATGGAAATTCAAGCTCTCCAAAGATTTAGTTCGTATGAAATACAGAGTAGAAACAAACCATACACCTAACAGGATGAAGACGTGAGTGGTCCGATCAGTGAGACAAAGTAAATATTCAGTGAAAAGATCACTGGGGACAAATTAATCACCAAGTTGTTATTTGAAGGTTTGATATCCTAATAGTCATGCTCCCAAGCAAATACAATTTCTCTTCCATTCATCAGTTTTGTTTCACCTTTATTTATAACCAACCCTTAACCAGTTCAAGGCTAGCCTCCTTTCCCTTAGTTTGTTCTATAACCAACAGCACAATGCTTCTCTCAACATGTCAAGTTAAGACATTATGCTAGTCCTCAAAGCCTTCTGAAGGTCCTAGATGCCCCCTAGCTCAAGCATCAACTTTTCTGCTGACTCAAAAGACTTTGTATCACCTGCAAATCAGTTACCCTAACAAATCAGTTTCATATACTCCTATCCTTAACCTTCACTCTTTCACTCTTTCCAAGGAAATAGTACAATTTTCCACACATGGTCTTTTCATTTTTACATTTTATCCCTTATACTCAAGATGTCCCTTGTGCCTGGAAGAGCCTGCTCATATAATATATGAATACTATACAAGTTTCTTAAGTACTTGGATTTAACTGAAATTATTTCTAGGACTAACCCCAAATCACTTTCCTAATTTGCTTTATTCACATGTACTGAATTTATTTCTAGGTCATGCTAATGTTACATGCATAAACACTAAAACCAAAATAGGCGGTTTCTGCCACTGGTGTTTTTACAGAGATTAGCCAACCAATAAGCTTTAACGGCATATAAAGGCTTCAGTAAGCAGCACAGGAAAGGAATCTATTGTTAACACAAATTACAAGCTCCACAGTATTCATTTTAAATGATTTTCCAAAATACTTACCAAATACCGTGGACATTAGCCAGAAAAGATGGTTAATGTTCAGACGATCTATAACCAAACTCTCCAGGAGCCAGGATTTAGGATTTAGTCATATTGTACATGCAAGTATAGGAATCTGTGAAACCTCCATATACTTTATATCCAATGTTTAATAAATATAGATGATTATTTACTACTTAATATACTACTTAGTAAAATAGAAAAAACTTACTGTAATTCTGGAAAGAATAAAGATAATTACAAACTGCAGATTGTCATTTGTTTTCCACTTGTGCTAATCCCAACTATTCTAAGAGTGGCAAAGTCACTGCTCGTGAGAAGAGTAGGAAAATGTGTGGCACAATTTTCCTGAAATAGTACATAGAGGGACAGTGCATGCACTGAGCTTACCTGTAACTTCACCCTAATTTTAGAGTACATAATTTAATAGAGGCCACGTACCAGTATTAATGCATCATCTCATGGGATTTTAAGGATCATATTGGGTCTTGGAAAAAACATGGAACAAACATTAGACTTAAAGAAATATCTCAGGCTAGACATGGTGGCACAAGCCTCCCAGCTATTTGGGAAGCAGAGACAGGAGGATCCCAAGTTTTAGGCCAGCCTGGGAAACTTAGTGACACCCTGTCTCAAAAAATAAATTAAAGAGGGGCTGGGGATTTAGCTCAGCGGCAAAAGCGCCTGCCTGGCAAGCACAAAGTTGTGAGTTCAGTTCCCGGTACCGGAGAAAAACCAAAAAAAAAAAAAATAAATAAATTAAAGGCTGGAGATGTAGCTCAGTGCTTCCTTGGTTCAAACCTCAGTACTGAAAAAATGGCATTTCAGAAGGTCAAAATTTAGTCAGGATTGAGTAGGAAGGTATTAAAAATAGGGTAGTGATTATTTTAGACTCCTTGTTTACTGCCCCACACTAATATGGATGATTTCCTCATCTACGAGATAGAGAAATTTAGTAACACTGAAACACAACTGGCTGTGAGAATAGGCACGGTAAATCTTAGAAAAGATTTAAAAGAATAAATGATGACCACACGCTACAACTTAACAAAAATTAAGCAATTTTGTAATTAAAAATGATCAGAGTTATATTTTTTTTAACCTTGAATCACTTCTGCACAAAAGGATGATGGCTTTTTATAAAGTCAATTTTCCTAATGATCTTGACATTGTATTATGGGCAAATGTGATAGGATTACCTCATAATATATTTTACATAAAATAAAACCTTTTTATGCTTGTTGAGTTTCCTTTTAGACACTTCCAGAATTAATATGAAACAATTACGGCAAAGGTTATTATAGTTATAGCCTCCACTAACACTGACCAAAAATAAGCTAGGTTCAGTTTATGGGAAATAAAAAGGGAAGAGAGAGTATATAAGGGTAAGTTTAAAAATAACAAGAATCAAAAATCAGGCAAATTTAGAAAATGGTTGACTGGGCAAATATACTGTACTTTAAAAAGTCAATGGCATTAAAGAAAAAGTGAAGCATTGTTCTACTCCAAAATAGACTACAGCTGGGTGTGGTGGTGCACACCCGTAATCCCAGCACTCTTGAGGCTGAGGCGGGAGAATCACTGAGTTCAAGGATGGCCTGGGTTACATAGTGAGTTCAAAGTCAGCCTAAACTACATAGCAAGACCCTATCTCCATAAATGAATGAATGAATAAACAAATAAACAGACTACAGAGACCTTACCAGATGTAGTGCATAAACCCAGGTTGCGTTTTGGCTTTAAAGAAGCTATTCTTTGTATAACTAGAAAAAATCTGAATATGGACTGCATGTTTAATGATACTGCAGGTTACTGTTAGCTTTCATAGGCATAAAAATTGTATTGTTTACACATCGAAGTTTCTCCTTTTTCTTAAGTGATGCAGGCTGAAGTGCCTAGTAGTAAACTGACATGTCATCATCACTTAATTTCAAATGGTACAGCAAAAAAGTATGTGCGTGTGTGTGTGTGTGTGTGTGTGTGTATGTATGTGAAGGCATGTATTGTTCTTTAAATTTTTCAGTACAATTGACATTTTTCACAATAAAAGTTGGGACAAATAAAGCTGGGAAGTGATGTTTGGGACGAAGGGAAGAGGGTAGAAGAAAACATCATTCTGAATGTATTCTAAAAGATGAAACATTAAATTTGAAAGACAGAAATATGGTGGCAGAAAAAAAACAATTATCATGAGATGAGGTACATCCTACGCAGCCTGTGTACACAGGATGGCAGCATATGAGTTTCTGTAGAAAATGGCTCTGTCTCAAACAGAGGTAAAACCATCGTGAGTGTTCTAGGGAAACAAATATAATTCCAAGGAAGAATGCTGGGACTGGAATCAAGTGTTTTAATTTGCTATGTGAATCACCGCTAAAACAATTCCATGGCAACAGAACAGCTTCCGCTCAGACAGGCCAGCAGCCAGCCTGCTGCTCCGCCCTCCCCTGTAGATGACACATGATCACTGTGAATACTGCTACGGTAGCTGTAATGTCTGGCTGCCATTTCACTTCATTTTCTTCGGTAAAAGACAAAGGTATACCCAAAGAGGTCTGCCCACAAGTCTAACAATATTTTCATTTAGAAGAAAAGTTCTTAACAGCTTGAACTTGATCTTAAATCAATTTATGTTACTGAAAATAATATGCATTTCCTTTGTAAGGATATTCGTGTTATAACTTGGCTGTGGGGAGGGCAGAAAAATCTCCTCGTTTCCTTTCCTGAGTCACATTAAGTAAGCATCAAGCTTCAGTATACGTTATAATCATTCAAGATGCTGATAAAATGCAGGTTCCTAGGTCCAACAATCTCATTCTACGGCCAGAGGTAAGCAGAGGGAGAAACCTGTACTTGCAATAAGCACCAGGGATTCTGATGCAGACACTCCTAGGTTCCATCCTTGGCCTGTGCTATTATAAGCAGCGGTTTTACTGTGATTAGAAGGAATACAGCATAAGAAGGAATCCTGAAGTGGGAGTCTGAAAATCCAGGTGACAGACTTGCCACTAATTTATTTAACTTTCGGCAAATTAGTGTTTCCGTGTCTCAGTTCTCTCATATGCTTAATGAGAATAATACTGCCTGTTCTACTTACCATACCCTGTGTACATGTTAATTTATGGAGAAGTGTCTTGAGAGCATAAAGAGCTTAACAACTAAGCATTACAACTTTGAGGTGGGTGCCTTTAATCTTACTTGGAGAGCTTAATATTATCTATTATATTTCCAACAAGAACTAACCACACATTAGCTTCTCTTCTTCTTTCTCAGGCTTAATCTGACAGCCCTTCTACCCCAAAAGAAAGAAAGCACAGAGATAATGAGGATATCCCCTGAGCATTGCAAAACATATAGGTAAAGGCTTACATCTTAGGATGCTTCTTACCAAGTCTATGAGTTTGGTGACAGGAACTTCTCGGATTGGTCTTTTCATTCGGCACAAAGCCTCCAATGATGTACCAAAACAACTTGGTAGGTAATTTCCACTGATTGTCAAGAAATAATCTTTGCCTCTATCCAAGTGAAGGACAAGAATATCTTCAATCTTATCTTCCCCTGAGTTTAGGATGGTCACAGAGTCTTTGCTGACATACACATCAAGAGAAATGTCCACTGTCTCATCTGAAATGTAGGAGATGATACATGGTAACACAAAAACTTCCAATGGAAAAGCAAAAGGGTATGGGAACCAAAAGAACAGATGGTCTCTAAACATTCACCAAGCAACAAAAAGAGATTGGACACAGGAAAGAGGTATCACTAGTGCAATGACAGCGAAGGTCAGAGACATACTGTTAGAACATGAGAAGTTAAACCAAGGGAATGGGAGTTCTGAGGAGATGGTACGAGGCAAGCAGACACAATGGTAAAGAGAAAACTCACTTGGCTCCAAGTAGCCCTCAAAAGGTTCAGCCCGAAGCCATGGCTTGCAGTACTGGCTGTCATTAAGTTTAGGGATGAAAGAAAAATGGCAGGGAACCTGTCCATTGTTGCTGATCTGGAACTTCTCCTTTTGTAGTTGCCGAAACTTCACATTCTCAAACACAAACTGGGGAACAACAGACAGACACAAACATGCATCACTAGTAGGGGAAGTAAGTCAGTTGGATTATTCCATGGAGACCATGAATAAAGAATCAGGTAATTATTAACCAGGTGTATAACTGCCATATGCATTCACCAACGAAGCCAACTTCACATCATTTCCAAACATTCAACTCACAGCTGCAGAGAAGGAGTTAGGTGGCTCTTGCTACTTCTCTAGGCTACTCTGATTGCTCCTGAGATCTTAAGAGGGTAAGCCAACCCTGGTCCGGGTCATTCACCCTGTGACCAAGTACTGGTCCCTAAGAAATGAACTAGCCAGCAACTCTGCAATAGTAAGAGTGGCTAACTTGAGGGCTCCCTAGTGCCAGGCACTGTTCCAAGAGCTTTACATGTATTAACTCATGTAATCCTTACATGAGTCCTTAATCCAGAGAAGGAAAACTGCAGCTCTGAGAGGGAAAGATACTTGCTGGGTGTCATCTATCTACTAAATGCCAGTGCTGGGACGAGAATGGACGAGAATGACTCCAGAACACACAGTCTCAACCACTTTGCTTTGATGCATTTTCTATGTAACAGTCTCCTCTGTGCTAACCACAGTCGGCAGCAGAAATGGAGGCCATGTATTTGGCTCACCTCCCTCCTGCTGAGTTCAAGGGAAGGAAGGAAGTCATTTTCCATTCTATCCATGATGCGTACAATATCCTCGAAGACCTTCCGATACCTCCGTTCATCCACAACCTTCACCTAAAAGACAATGAAGCCTCTTTTCAATCTTATATGCTCCTAGTTCATCACCCTTTGAGAGTATCTAACAATTTAATACTGGTCATTACAGCAACCATTTAAAATAAACTGTGGTGCAAACAACGTCCTCAAAAACTTTGATATCTTGCTTCATCCACAACTTCCACCTGAAAGAAAATAGATCCTTATTTTAGTCTTATTTGTTCTCAACCTGTCTCCAAAATTCTCTAACAGTTTTTAAAAGGCCAATAAAGCAACTATAAATTAAACTAACAAGCATTATTGCAGCACATATGTTAAAGTTAAGGTAAGGTACGGTAAGAATGTTTAGCTCCAAGTTAAGTTACTTGGTGGTGGAAAAATGTGATTAAAACGGTTTCTTGCGTTATACAAAATAATAGTGTCAAAATATACCCATTATTGTTCCTAGAACAGCAGAAAATATAACTGAAACATTTAATTTCATCAACTGCTATGCACAATGCCAAGAATCACATCACTGCTCAGATTATATAATAGCAAAAGTTTGTTAGTAAAAGTGAACCTGAGATTATATAATGGCAAAGGTGTGTCAGTAAATGGGACCTGTGGCCATTTTAGATAATGGATGACAGAAAAAATCCTACAGTAAAATTACAACAGATAAGCAAATCATCTGTACTAATAGATCAGAAAATTTCCCACCTGATACAGCACTTTCAACTTCCTGATACAGCTGCTTTTTAAATATTTAAACTTCATACAAGCCAAAAATTAACATAAATAAGATATAACTTTGAATTTATTAACACATTGGTTTCTTTTTTTAGAAAAGTCATAAAAATCAATATAAAAAGGATTTATGTACATAGCAAAGGTTCTAAAGTATACATGGAAAACAGCATCAAGGCCGAGTCAAATATCTCAGACTGGGGAGGGTTTCTGTATTGTTTGGACCATAAATCTTAGAGAACTGAGGATCAATCACTTCAGTGCGACCAGAGTCCTAACTATACATCACGCTAAGATGAATTTTACACTTTTACAAGATTTTGCAACTTTTTATTTCAAAGAAAGTATTTTTACCCATGTTTTTTTATTTTCATAACCTACAAGGCTACCAAATCAAGGAATATTCTGATTTGAGAAAACAGAAATACAAAAGATAACTAACTTGCTCTTTACTATACTTAATACCAAAGGTAACTTATGGTGGATTAGGTGAACCCTTTCCAAAATACCTGATATGTGACAGAATGAAGTCAGATAAATCTTAAAGTCACAGGTGCCTGTACCTACTAATCACAATCTCTGGGGCATGGGACGCAAGCATCTGTACTTTTTAAAAAGCTATCTAGAGAATTCTTAGGTCCACTAAAGTGTGAGAATGTTTTAACAGATCACGGTACCAAATACATGGGTGGAATTCTATCTCGGCTTAATCTCAGCCAGCCCATAGCAAATTCCCTGAAATTAACTGGCCATGGACTGCTTGGCTCCTTTGCTACCGGTCATTGTGCCAATGGTGGTTGTTTATTTTTATTTTTATTTATCATAGCATGCGTAAGAGTCCAAAATACAGAGTGGTTACTTAATAAAAGCTACCCCTTTCTCAGTGGATTAAATGATTTAATGGCACATCAAGGAAAATGAGGAGTGAATCACCCCTCCCAAATTTCACCACCTATATTCCCATTTCAGAAAACGAAATTACCAACAAAATTAGGAATTCAGAAGAGAATACAAGCTAGATCTTTATATAATAACACAGATAGCTCTCTAAGAGACACTATTAAATGTTTTAAAAAGCAGATTTCAGACCAATACATATGGTATGAGACCACACAAAACAGGATTTTGTCTATGAGCAAACAGAAAAGCATATGCAAAGTCTAGAACTGTCCAATAACAACCATTAGACACATAGGGCTGTTTAAATTTAAATTACTATGAATTAAACACAACTAAAATCTCAGCTCTCACTCACATTAGCCACATCTGACATATTCAGTAACTACCAGCGACTAGCAGCTACAGGACTGGACAGTATAGATATAGGACATTTCCATCATCACAAAAAATTCCAGTAGACAATGCTGGTCCAGAAATACATAAACTCATAAGGAGAGTTGGCCTGGCTGGGAAGTTGGGGTTTGGGAAGAACTGGGAGTGGAAGATGACCAGCATTGAAAATGCAAGCCTTATCTGTAAATGCTGCCTAGAATTTTAAAGAAAAAGCACTTCTACACTGCTGTATAATTCAAGTCATTAAGAACCAGAAATGTAGAACTTGATTAAAGATACACAAAAATATACAGAAAGCCTGGAGAATTGTTAGTTATCTCACAGGAGCTTTGGATTAATGTGCATGAAGTATTAAAAATATTCCAAGGTTCTAAAAAGAAATACAAACAAAATGCCAAAGCATAGCTGATTAAAACCAAGGAGGTTAATATTTAAGGAAAGACAGCTTCTTGAAACAGATTAAGAGAATTCAAATGCAGAAGAAAGGGTGGTCTCCCGGTACAAACTGGAACTAGATGGGCTAAAAGTAGTATCTGAAGGTATATTTAATCAGTAAGTACTTTGAGGTAGTAGAAAAGGCATGACTTTGGGAATTAAGACTTAAGATTTGAATCTCAGCTCTCCTAGTTGAATAATCTCAGATACTGAATTCCCTGGTTCTCTACCTGCTCATCTGTTAAATGAGAAATACTGAAGTCAAAATGCTATTGTGAGGAGTAAATGAGATATGTACAAATTATCTAGCAAAGCTCCTGGAACACAGCCACTAGCTGCTATCTGAGCAATGCTTATTAATATCAATCATTATTTTAGAATTTAAAAATGGGGGCCAGTGGCAAAGCTTAGTGTACATGCTTAGCATGTATAAAGTGCCGGTGTCCACCTCCAGCACCACATATTAAAAAAAACCTCTCAAACCAAAAAGCCCCTAATAATAAAATTTCCAAATGGACATTTTTGTATGTCCATTTTGCATAATCATTTTGCATGATTATCTTGACAAAATTATAAGACCAACAACTAATTTTGATCATCAAAAAAGCCCTAAGGTCATTCTTTAAAAGCGGAGCAGGACTAGACACATCAGTGATACCTATCTCAAAAGCCAAAAAAGTGACATAAACACAGAAGAAATAATGTAAACGTGATGGCTGCAGTAAGTCAGCAAGATTACAGCATATAATCTGCACACTAATAACACATAAAAATACAATGAGAAAAATTCTTTACTCACAATAGAGACAAAAATTAAATAACTGCCCATTCATTTAGTCCAGGGTGCAACAGAGTTAAAAACTTAAAGCCTCTGTTCCTGAACAGGAAGACTTCACACTAGCAAGCATGGCACTACACCTTGTAAGGCAATACTCAGATTTGGTCATATTTTGATCCATCTGTGCATTTACTCTTGCTGTTCGTGCCTCTCCACCCAGAATCTCTTTTCTGGTGTTTCCTTATTATTTCTCTGTTTAAAAGCCAGTTATCCTTTAAGATCTAAGTTAACTCTTCTTTATGTTACTGGCTTTAGGAGGCTTAATTTATCACCCAAACATTATGTAGCATGAGAAACTTCTGTGTCACAAGAAGGCGTGGCATATGAAGAGATATAACAACAGCATTTGGAAGGGTTGAGGGCACTGACTTCTGTAACTCCCAAATGATTGCTTGGTTATGGACATTTATGGTTCATAAAATTACAAATCTGTTCTGAGTCTAAATAATGCTCTACATATAAGACATTTAACATGCAAACAAATGAAAAGCAAGTGCTTACCCCAATATGGAAGAGGGAGCTCACAGGCTTGTGGTCACTAGTTTTCAGTTCCATGTGACTCCGATAATGAAGCTGATTAACATTTGTTCCTCTCCAAAGGATTCGGTCACACCAGGCTGGCACTCGACATTTTCCACTGTAAATAAAGAAGTGAGTTATAAGGAGAACATAGCACACAAGAACATAATACCTACCCCGGTAGTTCAGAACCAGAGCCATACGCTTCTCTCTCTTAAACAAGCCCTAACATCTTCCTGGCTATGGTGCAATCTCTGCTAACGGGATGTCTGATTATTTCCCAGTGAACTCCTACAACCTAGCTCACTATCTGGTGCAAAGTAAGCGTTCAATGAATAGTTATCTAATAAATTAAAAATGGTTCTCCTAAGATCAGGATTACATATTCAGCAATGTCACCACACGTAAAAATATAAAGGCACCTTCTTAAAGTATCCTCAGGAGGAAATTAACAATGCTTGATGTACTTTGTTTGTAACTCTGTACTGTCTGTACTGTTCTTTTGCTATTTTGTAAAAGGTTGTCTGTCAATGTTTTCGTCCTTTTATTTTTAAAATAAAAAAAATTAATAAAAAAGTATCCTCAGGAGGTCAGGATTCTATTCTGTTATTGTCTTTTTTTTTTTTGAGACAGGGTCTCACTATGCAGTTCAGGCTGGCCTTGGGCTCACTATGTAGCTCAGGCTGGCTTCGAACTCACAACAATCCTCATGCCTCAGTCTCCTGAGTGCTGGGATTAGAGGAGTGCACCTCCACGCCAGGCTCAGGATTCTATTCTGAACACTTCTTCCCCTGCTGTATGAAGTGCAATGATATTTCATAACAGGTAACTAATCTGGTATAAAAATCCAGTCCTCTGTTCTGAGACTGGGATTAATCGGGAAAGAACTAGTAGTAGAGATTTTTCCTTTAAACCTGAACCTTAATGGACAAATGTAATGTCTTCTGATAATGAACTAAAATGTAGCATGAAAGTCTGAGCATATTATAGAATGCAGAATACCAAGGGCAGAGAAAAACCTGATCATCATTCTATTAAAGTAAGTGACAGCTTATACACCTGATTTAGAGGGTGACACAAGTATTTCCTATCAGTAGCTCTTCAGCTGGATCTCAAGTCATTTGAGGGAAAGAAAACATGGCAAATTGTATATGATCTGTCAGTGTCAATTTTCATTTGCTGACTAGTTCCTTTGGAGGATAGGAATACAGACTCCTACTGCCCACTCCACCCCACCCTGGTGAGTCTGAAGCAGCTGAGTATGCCCAGGGATCCTTTCTCTTTCAAGCTTTTGTGTTTAGCCTGGTAGGAAACCATAAGAAACAAAAATATCAATAGTATGTAGGGAACAAATAGTTACCATGAACTTACTGAGAGGGGTACTTTACAGGGGTGACTAGGAAACCCAAAGGTATTTAGGCAGTGGTTCTCAGTTTTCTTTACCAGTGGCAAATAAGAGGTTCAGGCGTCAGTATCTTTAAAGCGTCCCCAAAAGACTCTAATGTGTTCTTGAGATTGACAACTACTACACTAGAAGTACTATTCATGTCTCCTTGCTTAAAACTTCTTGTGTCCAGTTAAATAGCTGAGAAGCAGTTTGGGCAAAAAGAGTCACTAGGTGAGAAATAGGGCAAGATTAGAGAGGTGAAAAGCAAGTGAGCTGAGGTGACAGAAACAAGGCACTGCAGGGAGATCGTAACATTTTACTAGCCTGACACACAAGTAAAACTCTCTACAAACAAGCACACCTTCGAGCACTCAGGAATTAAAAACTCCTCTGGAATAGCACTATACTACTAGATCTTTATTTCTGCTTATGGTGTTACCTTAAAAATTCCTAGTTTCTTGCCAACATGAAAGGACAGAAATGAGATCGAGGCTTTACCCACTCTGTGAGAAGATTCTTATTACTTTACCTGGAATCCCATCGGTCTGTTTTAGAGTCATACTTGTAAGTAGGAATAAACTTGATTTCTCCTTCGTTGAAGTCAACAAAAGCTTTTTTCTGTGTGCGCTGAATATTTAGCTACAGACAGAAAGAAGCAACATGTAACCAAGATAACACTATCTTAATATAAATGTTTATCATGTTAACCAGCCACTGCTCCCATTTCTAAATATCGAGTTCCGTAGCTTTTACAACGGTGAGTACATAAATGAAATGTCTGTATCTTATGAATGAAATCTCCGCATTCCCATAGCATCTACACTCACCTTCGATAGGTTGCTCATCATTAGCATATCACTAATATTTTCATTGCCAATAATGGCCATGGGTGAAATGAAACCACGAAATCTGAATAATCGTAAGTTCCTTGGAGCTGGGCAGGAACCATCCAACATGATTATAATAATGTTTAAAAAGCACACAAATGTTAAATTGACAATTCCCAAAACCAAATTTAGTAAACTGTTGCATACTATTGTGAAAGTTATCCTCATTCAAATATTTTACTAGCATTACATAAGGTTCAAAGTATTTCACTGTATTCATTTGAAGGCAGGAAACAGGAAGAAACACAAAGCAATGAACCAGCCAACCTCAATGTGAAGGCAGACAGCCAAGAAAGGCTCACTACAAAGATCATTCCGCTATAAAACCCTGAATTTTGACCAAGATTGAAATGGCTTTCATAAGAATTTAAAGACATTCGATAAGTTTTTTTTTTGTCTCTTTTAAAGACATTTGAATCAAGTCAAAATATTCTCTTTCTCAGGATAAACTTGAGTCATTTGTAGGAAAACAGATACACCTTGAGATCATAATGTTAAGTGAAATAAATCAGACACACAACTTTAAACAACACATCGTTTGTCTTACATGAAAAACCCAAAGTATAAAGAGCAAAACAAAAGATAAAAATTTTTTTTCCTTTCCCTAATAAGCAGCATTCACTTTTATGCCAGTATCACACAGTTCTGGGTGTATATATATCCAAAGAAAATGAAATCACCACACAAAAGAGATACCCATATGCTCATATTTACTGCAACTCTTCACAAAAGCCCAACAGGGAATGAAGTGGTAAAGAAAATGGACAGAATATTATTTAGCCATAATGAAGAATAAAATCCTGTCATTTGCACCAAAACACATGGAACTGGAGATCACTATGTTAAGGGAAATGACCCAGACACAGACAAATACTGCATGTTTTCACTCATATGCAGAAGCTAAAAAAGGCAACCTGAATGTAGAATAGTGATTACTAAATTCTGGAAAGGGTAAGACGTGGGGTAGGTAAAGGGAGTTGGATTCCATAGTGCATGTTATATGCATGTATTAATGTTTCACACTGCACACATTAAACATGTACAATGTATACATGTTAAAGAAAATACAATAAGCGCTGACGTTTAGTGACCAGTATCTATATTCTTAAGTAAAACTCAAGTTGTATGCCAGGTTCGAAAGCAAACATATACTGCCTCACATATATGGAAACTGGGGTCCTTAATAGTAGGTTTCACTTGAGCTGTACAGAATCAATGCTTTTTCTATAGATATTTACATCAACAACCATACAGCAGCTTACTCGAGTTTATTAATCAGTTCACATTAAACCATAGCTTATGCTATTCATTCCCAAAAAACTTCTGTGCTTTCCAATCTCGCTCACAGGGCCTCCCTCTTTTACCTGCAATCTGCTGCTCAGTCTGCTAAGTAATAATAGAACAGTTCTCACTGTTCCATCTGTCAAACCACATCAACAGAGCTGAAGGCTCACCTCCTCCAGGAAGTGTTCTCCAAGTAGCCCCACCTATTTTCCAGCTCATTTATATAAATCTCTGAAATCTCTGCTTGCCAATGACTTACTGAATCAATGTTTTATTACCTTTTACCACCAATGTTCTCCCTTCTTCCCATCCAAGTACTTAGCCAAAGCACTACAAATCTCCTATTATTCAATACATCACTAGTCACAGTATTTAGAAGGCGATATGACCTTCCCAGCTCTTCCTAGAATAAGACATGTCTCCCGCGTATCTATCTCAAAATCCTACCAATCTTTGCCATGAAAACTTTACTTACCTGGTCAAATTTTAAGAGTCTCTGAAGGTCATTCTTATTAATAAGACTTTTCACCTCATTGGCATCAGGCATGCAAAGTCTATAGTTCAAATCTCCCAACCAAATGACAACACTGAGGATCAAGAAATATATGAATAGAAGTAGCAATAATTAGCATAAAATCAATCAGCGAAGAATGAGGAGAAGAAAAATAGGTAGATTATAAGAATTCATTTATCATTATCTGACAAGGGCCTTAAAGCAGTAACCCTTTGGGAGAAAGTATTATCAACACCCCAAGAAACAATGGATTATAAAATAGGTGAGAAAACAGATACCCCACACATGAAGAATGAAAGAAAGGGAAATACAATGTATTCTGGAATTCAGAAGCCTAGGAGTTAATGGACTGAGAAGCATTTAGTTATTTGCTGGACTGGCTTCAAAATTTTGCCTGGCTGCCTGCCAGGTCTCTAGGGGGAGAGAATCTCAATGTTTTCTGCCACTCAGTGTCGGGAGGTTCTACAAGCTCTCGCTAAGGTCTGTCTGATCTGAATGACAGCACTCCCAGACATGACTGACTAAGAAAATTAGGTATAGTGCTCTCCAGCATAGCCAACCTGTTTGTCCCTGCATAAGACCTTACTGCAAGTTCCAGGCAAGAAGAAGGCACTCCCCAGGCAATGCTATGGGAATCCAGCTTCCAATCACAGCAACATACCTCAAGATGTGCTGAAAGGGAGACCCTGAAATTACCACATCAAAAAAGATTCTTCTGTGAGCTACTACATGTTTCCAATGAGTAACTCTACCAATCTCAAATGCTACATAACATTTCTGGAATCCTGGGGAAATAAATTTATGGAATTGCAGGGCAATTTCATGATTAAAAAATTCTGCCTTGATTTTGACACTGTGAAACAATTTGAGGAGATGTGATAAAAATAACTATAGTGAATGCTTTTTCTTTCTAACAGTAAAAGATACATTGTCATTACCCCCCCTCCGCCCCCTGCTTTGAATACATTTATCCCACTGTTTTTGCCACTTTCTGGAGTAGTTCTGGAAATCCTATTTTTTGAGTGCCCTTAGTTACACTGCTATGGCTGCCTGAGTGTCCTAATTGATTCAAATTATTTGCCTTTTGTGGTAATTTTGACTTTGGGGAAGAGCCAGAAGTCATACAATGTCAGATTAGGTGAATAGGTGGATGAGGACACACCACTATACACTTGCCTTACTATTGGATGGCATATGGAGCATTCACCATAGTTTTTACCATAACTCATTAAGTCAGTCATGAAAGAGTGACTTCCAGAAATGCTTCAGGCAGTGGGAAGCATGAAGGAATAAGTGTATTTGCAGAGGGGGCAATATTTTGAGGAGGATTAATGGCAATGTGTCTTATACTATAATAATTTTAAAATTTAAACATACATTGTATATTTTAATCACCCCTTTTATATGACCCTAGTTACTGAGACAATAAAGAAACACTCCAATATCACTACCCTGCTCTACTCTTTCTTCAATCACCCTACTCTGATTTTAATACCCCTAAATTATCTTTTGCTTCCCTACCAATTCCCATATCAAACTATTTATTCTAAACCACCCTGCCAGAATTTCAATGGCCAGAATTAGTATCTTTACAAATAGTCACTATCACAATAATCCTCAATGGATTTCTGCTTCTATCCTTATTAAGTTTAATTCTTCACTGATCTATCTCTGCCACCCTGTTTTTAAAATCAGAGCCATTAGAAAGAGTAATATAGATCTGCATTCACTGGCATGGAAAAGGATCCACAATAAATAGGACAATACGGTCTTATACAACAAGTATGTGTTTGTACATGCATACTATCTAAAATGGTACTATTCAATAAACTTATATGTAACAACATACTTTTAAAGTTTCTAGTAGCTGAATTTAAAATGTCAAAGAAACAAGTAAAAACCAAATTTCACTTAGCCCACTATATCCTAATTATTATTTCAACATGTGATTAACATTAAAAATGTGAGATATTCAGCCAGCCGACTATGGACTAAAATGTGAGCCAAAATAAACCCCTCTTCCTTTAAAAAATTGAGATATTCTACATTTCCCCCTTAGTCTTTGAAACCCAATGCACTGATTATGCTTAGAGGGTATCTCAGCTTGGACGAGCCACTTTTTCAAATGCACAGCAGCCACATATGGCCAGTGGCTGTCAGACTGGATAGCACAGATCTAAGATACACACCCAACTATTAAAGACTAGCTGGGGACAATAGAGGAGAAGTAGTGAGGGTTTTTTTTTTTTTTTTTTACTGTTAATCTTATCTTTTATTAAATTTATAAGGAACATTTCTACTTTATAATAAAATCCAAAAATTGACTCCAATTGACAGAACCTTCTGGCATTACTCTATAGACTTCATTAATAGACGTAATCTTTCTTCCGAGGTCAAATCGAATTTCTCAATGAGTCTGCTATTCCTAAAAAACAACTCCTCTTCTTTGTGCCCCCAGTCTCTGAATGACAACCTGTCACTCTTCACAGCTCTAGAGTTTCTCACACATTTATGCTCACTATTAAAGGCCACAGGAGAGATAACCACTCACTCATGTTTCATGATGTTCAGTTGTGGGAGGGTCTGACTGGGGACTACAAAACTCATTCTCGCACAGATGTCCTTATAATCTTGATTCCTTCTCTCAAAATCTTCCACGTGGGCAGCCAGGTGGGAATTGACAATGCAGAAGGTAGTGTTGTGAAACACAAATCTCACAGCTACCCCACCTTTGTTTCCCTGTTAGCAAGTATAATTATTCCCAGTTAGTTGCACATAACCGTCAATGTAATTTCACACGGACATGAATAACAGTTCAGTTCATTTCCAAAGTAACTCACCATTTTCCCCATGATCCCAGTTCCAACTGTTTCTGTGGCAACATCACGAATATACCGATATTGATCCTTTCTGGCAAATATAAGGAGCATCATCCCAACGAGGCGGACTAGTTGAACCTATGAATTCCAGAGAGTTATAATAGGTAATGTTAATATCACTCTTTGCCACATATTTAACTTCCCAGAACTAACTTTTCTACTAAAATGACCTACCAGTGCTCAAGGCTAAATCTGAATGCTCTCATTTCCCAGGGCACCCTATAAACTGGAAACCACAACCCACTCGGGGCGCTCTAATCTGGCTCTGACCAACAGAGTTAAAAGCCTTGGGTGACAGTGAGTACACTCAACTCCAAATCTATTCTTTTAATAACTTTTTCAGAAGTTAAAATAACAAGGCAAAACTGCTATGCCCTTTTGGTCCTTCTACTACTCCTAGTTTCTGATTTCTAATTTTCTAAGAAATTTGCCTCTATAAACAGCAATCCTTTTTACTTTGACTATTTTTAATATGTGAACTACAGCTAGAAATATGGGTGAGAAATATATTAATCAGAAACCAGGGCTGGGGATTTAGCTCAGTGGCACAGCGCCTGCCTGGCAAGAGCAAGGTCGTGAGTTCCATTCTCGGTACTGGGGGGGGGGGAACCAAACAGAAACCTATGTGAGAGGGATAACATCTTCAGGCATTATATTATGTACATACAGTGTGAAAAATATAGAGGAAAATCATTCAGATTATTCCTTTGAAAGAGCTTATTATGGTAGTCCTGTCAGCAAACAATTTCTTTTCTTTTTTCTTTTCTTTTCAGCAATTTCAACCTGGGACTTTTACTGCGCAAATTAGTTACCTCATATATAATTATTTTGCATTAATTATTGATATGAGTACAATATCATCTTTTTTCCCCAACAAGCTATCTAAGCAATTGAAATATAGGATCAGAAAACTTAGGGAATTTTTTTTCCTAGGAAATAAGTACGAAGGATTAGTCTGTCCTATCCCAGTACTACACATATGCAAAATTCAATTAAACCATTGCTCTGTAATGAGTTACAAATAATGGAATAACTTACAGGAAGTCCTATTTAGTCATATACTAAAAGAAAAATTAAATGTGGCTTACTTTCTTATACTTGGCTTTGGAATGCAAACCCCTCTCCACAGCCACTGACCACTCTTGTTCCTTTACAGATTCAAAGTAGAAAAAGGCTTCTGTGCTCAAGTCTAGCTCTTGGAATCTAAGAGGAAAAAAGAAGATATGGGATCTGTACATATTCCATAACTATCTATTACTACTGTCTGTCCCATTTGCTGAGATATGAGACAAACAAAAGAAAAAAATAGAAGAGAGTCTATATTTTATGGAACTGCTCCTTTGAACTAGGTTATCATAAAGACAAGTATTTTCAAAAGAATCTCCACCAGTATATTCATAGGTTATGCAAAGGATAAACAAAAACCTCCTATGAGGTTTAACAATAGAGTTTTGCTCTTATGACCAGCGGATAGTCACCGGTAGACCTCATGTCAAGTCTCAGTTTCTATGAAAAGTATAGTTTTCTTTTTATGGGTTTTGCGAAGACTAGTTGCTTGCTTATCCCATGTTAGATATCTCTCCCATTCTGATCTCACAAAGTTGACCCACAAATTAACTTTTACATATAGTCTACAGTAGTCTAAACAGTTTTTTTTTTAATGAAGAAAGGCAAAATGTCATGTAAACTAACACAAAACATAACGCCAAAAAGAAGTTCCAGAAGTGTTTTGTTACCCAATGCAGTAGATATCAGGAGGATTCGGGTCACAGTTCAGCCAAGGTTCTAACCCACTATCTGGAGATTGGCCATTCACATTCCAAGTTCCAATAAAAAATCTAATACGAACACCAAAAAATAATTTGAAAACAAAGACCAAGTATAAATAGCAGTCTTCTTTGTCATTTCTATATAAGAGTACATACATAATAAGCCACTATAATTCTTCAAAGTGTTTTGACATATACTTAAGAAAACTTACTTGTAGAATATAGACAGTGTGCTTATTTTCTCTAAGTTATGTATTACATGAACCTACAGAAAGGAACTAAGTCTCCATCTTAAAAAAACACAAAGTTCATTGTTTTATCACATTCCTATCCAATTAAACTCCAAACTCATACTTGAAGGGAGAGCTTATAAATGGAAAGCAGTATCTTCATGGTGCAGGCTAGTCTAATACAGATAGCTGTTCTGTAAGCAGCCACAGCTGAATTCAAAAATTTACTTCCCAAAGGATTACAAGGACATCTATGTAGGAAATTCTGATGAGGCAGATATAGTATTAAGGGAGAAAGCAGAAGGGAAAACTCATGACTGTCTTAACTGTTTGCATACAAATATAACCATCATGTGGCCTATGAGGAACCAGAGGAACCAGGGATATAGTTATGATTGAATTAGAATAACTGAAGCATTATGGGATAACAGGTGGGACTGGAGTCTTTGACTAAAAGGGTATGTTTTACTCATAACAACAAAGAAAACTGTTGTCACATCACATATCGGGGATACATGTCACACCACATCACAGTCCTCATATACTACATATACCAGGTCTGGAAAAGGAGATATTAGCAAGTAAAGGGGAAATGAAATATAATACAGGCGAAAAATTCAAAATAGACTTTCCAATTAAGAGGACTGGGTGCAATTTTCTTAAGTTACCAAAGTTAAGATTTAGTGATAATGGTGGACTTTAATTTTCCAGTATTGCCTGGATAAAAATTCAGCAGGCCAGACAGATAAACTCACTTTCACATAGAATGTGCTAGGGGACAGTTCTCTAGCATATGTGAGCTTGATTTAGCTCCCTAAGAGCATATAGAAACATTAGTAGACATGGTATGTTTAGTAGTCAGAAACTCCAAGGGAAACTGTAGCATCTTCATTATTCTGGATATGCATGCTATTGAGCAGCACAGAGACAAGGGCTTGTATCAGATGACCAATCCTTTTTTTTTGTATTTTTGTTATATTTGATTCTTAATTAAGCTAATACCTTAAATATCAAAAAGTCATTGTCTGCTATACATATCTTTTTAGACTTAGGAAGGAAAAAGACTAACTTGAAGGAAAAAAAGACACTAACTTGAAAGTCTGAATGTTGACATATTCTTTCTCTCGCTTTGCCAGGATATGTTTGATGAGACCCTCTCGCGTCCCAGACTGAGTATTTGGTACAAAGAGCTTCCGCATGGTGTTGGTCACTTTAGGCTGCTCCTTATTAGAAGTTTCTTTTTCACGTGGAAGCCTAACAAATAAATGATAAATTCAAGAAAAAAATTCCTAAAATGTAAGTCTCCTGCAGGGGAGCTATGTTGCACCGTAGGACTTACATTCTATTCACAGAAGGGGGTGGGGGTGGGGGCTCCCGGTGAATCCCTGTAGACTGATTTTGTGAATTTATTTTCTTGTCCAAATTCATAGATGAAAAATTATCCTCAAATCCAAGAAGTCCTGAGATAGAGAATCCATGGTCAAAGAGGGAAGAAAAGCTAACATCCAACATACCAGGGTGGTCAGTACTTTCATTTGATCATGATTTGCTTGGTGGTGCTACTAAACAGAAAGGCACTAGAAAGGGTAATAATTACTTAGATTGGGAAAGAAGCGTATCCATCCTTGAAGCACTGATATGCTAACTAGTTTACAATAATCTGGAATCTAACAGTAGCTAACATTTGTTCAAGACTTATCACAATGCCTGGTTGATAATAAGGCATTATATCATTATTTCCCTTAATAATCACGAAAACCTCATAAGGTAGGTACTATTAAAATCTTCCCATGTGCTAGAAAAAGAATGGAAGTTCAGAGTTGTTGAGTAACTTGACCAAGATCACACAACTAGTGACCCCAGACATGGGATTCAAACCCAGGCTGTCTGGTGTTGGAATCTGTACTTTTTACTATTTGGCTAAGCTAGTTCCTCAAGAGCTGTTTTGCTACAGAAAGGATAAAGGCTGAAAGGATAAATCAGTGGCCATGGACTCAATAAAACACTTCACAGGAGACTACGTCTGATTTTGGCTTTAATCCACATCATCTCATCTGGCCTAATAAAATCTACTAACTCTAAAATGATCACAGCAGCCAGTGACAAAAGAACCCTTCCAGTACCTGAAAAAGCAGAAGGTTTGTCCTTAGTGTCTAATTTCTGATACCAGCTGGATGAGTCTTTCTGCTCTGGAACAAGAAGCTGTGACTGAGCTGGAAAGACAAGTCACGGTCAGACACGGGGGAACCTGGCACTGAATGGAATTTACCATACCATAACCAAAAGCCATTCATTTAACACTACTTAAATGCAAACACTACTTAAATGCCAGCACTATTCTTGAAAACAGTGGAAGAGATGAAGAAAATAAGGACAGTTCTGGAGTCACGTGGGGTAAGAGAAGGATTGCAATCTGAGGTAAACTGAGCAGGGCACGCATTGAACATTCTGGAAATTGGCTCAGTGTCCTCAAAACTGGATAGACTTGCTCTCTAACTGTATCCCTAGCTATATTTCTGAAGAAAAATATGAGCTATCAGGGCCCAAGGGGTGAGGTGCTTTGCTAATAATCACTGGCCTCTGAATCTGCATATCAGAATTTTACTCTCACTGAAAGAATAAAAGAAAATTGTTGGGTCTTGAGTTACCTTCCTGAGCAGCAAGGACCTCTGAGAGGAACTTCAAACAGTGTTCCTCATCAGGAATTTCAAAACGACGCTCTCTGGTCCAGTCCCCCTGAACCCGAATTTTGCAGCCACCTAAAAAGAATTGAAATCCATACACGTATATCTATGGGATGCAATGCTTTATTGGAATCATAATCTCTATGTACCAGGTTATCAGAAGGTCCAGACCACAATTATTCTAGTGCTCTCACGGAAGACTCACACAGACGAGCACAAGGCATTTGGTATGGTAGTGGCAGAAGGGGTAAAACAGAGGGAAGCCTAAGGGAAGATGGAAGTCTTACGACTGATAACTTGTGCCAATAACTACTCTGATCTAGTGACAGACATACTACATACTAAAATTGGTTTCCTATTTTCTGATCTATCTCTCAGATGTCAATGTAGGGACCTCCAAATTCTAACAGAAGATAAAATTCCTCAGTCACCCTCCTCCTATCCCCAAGCTGGAAATGGCTACCATTTCAAAATCCAGATCACATAGTAAGAGTATCTGAAGCATAAAGAGAATAAAGGAGTAGCATGGTGGTTCATAAGGTCAGATTAAATTAAATTTACAAACAACAACAAAAAGTAGTGGGACTGGTTTGAAGTGTTCTGGTAAGAAGCACCTAAACTTTATTACCTCAAGTGAAAAATATATGCCTGGAATAAACCTGCAAAAGTGGTGTAATGGTTCATGTCCAAGGGAGGTTTGGTTCAAGTACAGCGAATTGAAAAATAGCACAATTAAAAGCAAAGTTACCTAGGGCTTTAATTTTTTACAGTTATAACATATTGTCTCTCCTTTGCTGAGGCCCTATAGTTGTCATCTTAATCAACTCTTTGTTTGGATATGGTGGTTTAGGAAACTAATAACCAATATATTTGTTTATATTCCTATTGATTATGTATTTTGCTTTTTCCTTGCCCCGGAAACTATAAGCTCCTTAAGGGTAAGAGGTAAGTTACATATACAGGTCGCCCAATACTTTCCATGGTCTAGGTGACCAAATGTCTTGGAATTGGAGTCATAAGGCTTCTTACAACTCAAAACCTTCAATGCTGACACTGAGAAAATCCGAGGCAAACTAGGCCAGTGCTTGCTAGCCACTCTCCTGGTGACGTAAATGTCAGACTTCACAGAGTCATTTAAGAAATGACTGTTGAACTCTACCACACTTGAGAAAATGGAATGAAAATTCTAGTTTCTTACAGAGGACATCCACTTATGAACCTCTGGCTCTCTTTCTGTCCTTTACATTTTTGTGTTGTTTCTATCTTTATAGAACAAGTTAAAGAAAAAATAAAATTATTGATCAGAAGAAAAGAGATACAGATGGAGAAAAAAACCAAGTGAAAGCAGGTACCCAAGTGAATCAGAGATAAAATTAATGAGGGTGCCAAGGGTAAGGACAAAAACAAAGGAGAGGGCCTGAATAAAGTGTCCATTATGCATGGGGAAGCAGCCTTAAAGATACAGGGAAAACTCTTTCAGGGCATAACAAGCTCTCTATAATTTATATTCCAAGCATTTGAAAAGCAGCAGTTTCAATCTGATGGAAATGTAGAACAAGAACACCTATTCTCTCTCTCACAATTCTTTTTGTTTGTTTGTTTGTTTTTCTGGTACCGGGAATTGAACTCATGACCTCCCGCTTGTCAGGCAGGCGCTGTGCCGCTGAGCTAAATCCCCAGCCCTCACAATTCTTGAAAGATATATTTTAGCAAACATAAAACTGGCCCAGTTAACAGCCAACAAATTCTGGAAATTACTTATAAAATAACATTGGATGTGCTCTCATCACATTGCTTGAAAAGTGGAAAAACCTTCTGTTCTCCTTCCAAAAACACTCCGGCCCTCTGTGATCAGCAACACTCCTGTACCTTCTATCTCATCTGAATACTTCCTTGTACCTCTCAATACTTCTCCAGTATGGACACATCGAAATCACCGGAGACACTTTTAGAAAATACTGACATCTGAGCCCTGTCCCAAAACCATTAAAGCCGAATTTCCATGGGTATAGCCCAGGCACTGGTAACTTTTTAAATACTCCACAGGCAATTCTCTTAGGCAGTCCAGAATGAAAATCAGAATCAAATGCAACCTGATTGGTTAATCCCGGTAAGAGGCACTTCCCCTGCAGCCACTTAGTGAAGGCTGTTTTCTCACACCAGACAGCATTTATTTTTTGAGCCCTTCCCCTATCTTTTTGGCAGTACTGTACTGGGGATTGAACCTAGAGGCACTGTAGCACAGACCTACAGTCTCAGCCCTTTTTATTTTTCATTTTGAGACAGAATTTGCTAAATTGCTCAAATCACCTTAAACTTTCAATCCTCCTGCCTTGCCCTCTGAGTAGCTGGGATTATAGGAGTGTGCCACTGTGCCCAATACCTCGCCCTTTTTTGATAGAGGTCTCTCTATGTTGCTCAGGCTGGCATCAAACTTCTGGGCTAAAGCAATCCACCTGCCTCAGTCTCCTGAGTGCTGGGACTACAGGAACATCACCATGCCTGGCTTACACCCGACAGAATTTAAGGCTGGTGGCTGTACTTGTTCTAATACCAATTCCAGACAATTCTCTCCCCATCTCCCTCAGGAAAAAAAGTTTTCTCCTTTGAGGCTCACCCATTAAGCCATACCATCTTACTCCTTTTCCTTTTCTATGAGACAATCTACCATCCCTCTAGAAACCAGAAACCTCACAATCCAGGATTTAATACCTAACACATAACACTTCCTTTCCACTCAAACTCTACCATTATTTCAGGACCTTTTAAAATTAGTACAGAAAACCAAATCAACTCCTTTACCTTCCTCATCCAACATCTTTTGCACTTTACCTCAGTGACCACTTATTTGGTCCCTACTGTCATATCCTCAAGTTGTTTTCATCACAGAAACACCGCCACTTACAAATCTCTAATTCACACACCTTGCACTGACCTATTATCTTTCCAACTTACTTGACCATGATCTCTGTTGTGATTGTTCCTTTAGCTCATGGGAACCTCAAGCCCATTGATTCCTCTACTTTCTCACTATCCATCAGCTTCCCCCTGCTTTCACTTCCCCCTTCCTCAAACAGATGCCATCATTACACTTCAAAAACCCACAACTGCCTTAATTCTGGTCTCCCATGGCACCTACTTGGCTCAATTCCAATAATCAGAAATCCAACTAATTGCCTTCTCTGTTCTGATAGTACCTGAGCAAGCAGAAGGCATGTCTATATGCAAGCACACACACGCAGAGAGAGAGAGAGAGAGAGAGAGAGAGAGAGAGAGAGAGAGAGAGAGAGAGAGAGAGAGACGGATTTCGTATCACTGTAAAGTCCTGCTTGTCAAACTCAACTAGGCCCACTATCCTAAGCAATTAGTTTCTATGATCAACAAGTTTCCTGTTATGGGAAGAACCTGCAAAAGTGGTGTAATGGTTCATGATTTCACACTTTCACCCCATACTGCCCTCCAACTCTAGTCCATCTCTGGATTCTCTCCCAATAGTCCGCCTTCTTTAAAAAACACAGTCACTTCCTATTCCTCATCTCCTATTTCTCTTTTAACTCCAGTAAGACTTCTATACCCACCACCATGTATAATTGCTTTAAGGTCACCAATAACCTCTATACTGATAAATACAATGGATACTCTCTTCAGCCACTTTGTTGAAACTACCAGCAGAAACTATCAGTTGATCTCTGCTTGGAATCATCTTTCTCAAAGGGTTCTATAATACTATACTCATCTAATTTGTCTGGTCACTGATTTTTAGGGCCCTTTGAGGTATCTCTTCCTTTAATCTACCCTTTGAGAATTAGAGTTCTTTGAGTACAATCCTAAATCATTTTTATTCTATACCAGCACTGTTCAATAGGACCTTCTGTGATGATGGCCATGGTCTATAGATGAGCTATCTGATATAGTCACCAATAACCACATGTGGCTCATAAGTACATGAAATAGGAGTACTACAACTACACAACTGAATTTCTAATTTCATTTTAATTAATGCAAAGTGACTCTGTAGCTAGCGGCTGCTGTATTAGATAGCACAACTATATGTGCAAGCATAGTATCTCTCATGATTTTAAATATAATTTATATGCTAGTGGTCCAAGCCTTTCCTCTAAGCTTCAGCTGCCAATCTATAATCTACATTCAAGTGTTTCAAAGCACTCCCAATATACCTAAAATTGAGTGCAGGAGACCCCCTTAAAGGAAAACTCATTCCTTTTGCAATGCATTTATGTAAATGGTACCATCATCCACATTCCTGTCAGAAACCTAGGATTTCTGGTTTCTACCAAGTCTTCTTGACACTTCTCTTCCTCAGCCTCTATATCCAAACCAACTTCTATTGTTTTTATTTACCTACAAATATAACTATTAAACCTGTCCACTTCTCTCCATTTCTATGGTTACCATACTCTCCACCTTTCACTACTGAAACAGCTTCCTAATTAGTCTTTCTGCTTCCATGCAAATGATACCTAGGCATAAAAATCTTTCATTCTCTTTTACTGTTTTAAAATATAAATATGTGGATTCAACACCATGGCTTGCAAGATTCTATTGCATCTAGTCCTAGCCTGTCTTGCTTTGGCACTCAAGCTTTGTTCCAGGTACCCTGGACTTCTTTTATGGCAGAGTCAAAATATTTCTCAACTTGGAGCCTTCTCTGGAGTATGTTTCTCTCTCCTGCCTTCACCTGTGTCTTACCTAGGGCCCCCCAATCTCAATTTAAATGACACTTCTTCAAAGAGGTCCTCCCTTACCACCCTGCCTAATTTAGTTACCCCTCTTATAAACTCGTTTGTGTTAATTCTTGATAGTACTTATCAAAACTGTGATTATGTATCTGTATCTTATCAGTTTAAAGTCTGTTTCCTACATTGAAATCCATAAAGTGCCAAAAGTATACTGATTTCTGCTAGAACCTAGCACGGTATCTGACATATGAATTAATAAATTGTAGGCATCTATGTAGCTCTTGTATCAAATAGTACAGAAAAAAACAATCACAGCAGGAGCAGCAGTTATCTATGCTGTTCCTTAATGATCTGCAGTGTTTACAACCATACTTGGCAAATAGGAGGCACTCGGCAATTATCTGTTGAATAATATATAAGGTAGGGAGAGTGATATTAAGAAATTAGTATAGTAGAAATTAGTGATGCACACGCCTGTAATCCCAGCACTTGGGAGGCTGAGGTAGGAGGATGGTTGCAAGTGCGAAACCAGCCTGGGCTACAAAGTGAGCACAAGGCCAGCCTGAACTGCATAGGGAGACCCTGTCTCAAAAAGACAAAAAAAAAAAAAAAAAGAAATTAGTATACTGTAGTCCATCAATAAGTCAAAAATATACAAGAAAGGAAAAATATAACTATCTTCACAAATAAAGAAAAGACATTTAACACAATTCAGTGTACAGGCATGATTTTAAAGAACACACACTTAATGTTCATGGGTATAATAAGATGTGAAGCAAAACTAACAATTATAGATATTAGAAAGGAGACAAAATTATTATTTGTAGATAATCAAGGCTGCCTACCAAAATGAGAAAACAGTAAAAAACTATTAAAATAAATCGCGGTGAAGTAGTTGGATAAAATGTAAATATCCACAATTCATTCACTGTTCTGTTTACTAGTATAAAAAGCAATTGAATGATAAAATTCAATTTAAAATACAGCAAATATAATATACTATAAAATTGTAATCTAAGATGATATAAATGAAAAGCTACAAAATTTTATAGCATAGAGTTTATAAGAGGGGTCACTAGCAAGGACTTGATAAGATTTACCATGTACCTTGACAGTTATTTAATTTTATAAAGAAATTAATTAATACAATTTGTCATATAGCTATAGTGAAATATTGGTCACTGAAAATACTATTTTACAATAATTTTAAATGATGTAGGAAAATGTCACAATATTAAATGAAAATGCAAGATAAAAACTATATACCAAGGCGGAAGGTATAGCTCAGTGGTAGCACATATGCTTCGTACACAAGGCTCTGGGTTCAATTCCCCAGTCCCTTCCCCTTACAAAACACAAAGAGAAACAAACCCTCCCAACCCCAAAATAACAAAATTCTATATGCAAGAATCCCAATTACATAAGGATATAAATAAAAGACTAGAAAGAACCATATAAAATTACTTGCCACAGTAGTGATCTCTAGGAGAATAATTTTAATATGACATTTTAAATTCTTCTGACTTCATAAATTATACATAGTAAAGAAGTATTAAATTTATAATTAGACACTTTCTTGTGGTACTGGGGACTGAATCTAGGGCTTCGTGCATGCTAGGCAAGTACACTGCTACTGAGCTACATCTCCAGTCCCTAACACTATAATCAAAAAATTATTTAAAATGTGCTTAATACCAATATTCAGACAGTGGGAAAACACATGTTTACACTAAAATCAGACCTGCCTGATAAACCTAGGGTTCCCTTACAACAACTCATTGTTCTATAGACTTACGAATGAAACCCATTACTAAATGAGGAGAGATCATGAAGGACTTCATGAGCAGTCACTCAACTCTTTCCACTCAGGATCCAGCAAGTTAAACTCTATATAGCAACACATGACTAACTTCTATGTAGCCGAGATCACAACAAAACTAATGCCACAAATTAGTGTGCATAAGAGAAAAGGCACTGTTCAGTTTAACTTCTCAACTTTGGATCAAATAACTTTCTACACCAAGAACAGCACATTTTAGCATCTTATTTCAACAGTAATATCAGTCACTGAAGAATTACTTTCCTCTCATTTTCCTTTTTTAGCATTATTTTTATCTTCTTCTGTCTAAGCTCAGTAAGACAAAGATATTGAGCTATTTTCTCTCTTGGATACCTGCAACAGAAGCCAGCAGCTAGGTTAGTATTTCAGGGACAGTTCTTAAGACTTTCAAAATTGGGGCTGGGGATTTAGCTCAGCGGCAAAGCGCCTGCCTGGCAAGCGCAAGGTCGTCAGTTCGGTTCCTGGTACTGGAGAAAAACCAAAAAAAAAAAAAAAAAAAGACTTTCAAAATCAATGATTAAAGAAAAGGACAATAAAACCCAAACTAGAAAAAGTTCACCTAAACCATTCATAACAAATTAATGGTGCCAACGGGAAGGACTGCATCTAAAGAAAATTATGTACAATCTGCAGCCCCAACGCAAGCGCCAAGTCCCACTCATCTAAGGACTTGACCGAGAGATAAGGTGACTGATTTAAATTTATGTGGTCAGATACTCATTTCCATAGCAACCACACAGCAGTCACGGTAGCAGGCAAGTGCTCATTTTCTCCTTTCCACGGCACAATTAGAGGATACAGAACAGCCTGCACAGAAAGTCAACGATTTGCTTCAAACAGATAAAAATGAGAGAACAGAAACAGTGAAAAGGAAGATCATGTTCCCTCTGAGAGAGATGCCTTGAAGGACAGAGATTAAATAAAAGACCAAAATTATCTTAAGAACAAGGATGCCTACACAAGAACAAGGATGCCTACACAAGCAATTTTCCCAAAATAAGGTAACAAATAAGTGAAAACATTATGATTTAATGTGAAAAAAATAAGAAATAGAAGAAAAGTATAAAACATGACAGCAGTTAAAAAACAACAAAAACACATTTACAACCCTTAAGTGTTTTTAACATTTTACTAGCCCGGCAGTCATACAATTATCAGTTCTACAGTGGTGGTTTAACTGACAGGAATAACAATGGCAGTTCAAAATTGAGCATTAGAAAAACAAATCATTTTTCAATTTTTACAAAAGTTCTTACCAACTACCTGCCTTAAGAAAATGGAAACTACAGGAGAAAATGGTAAAATACAAGATGTGCTCAAAATGATGTCCTGAATACACTGAATATTCAAGTAAATACTCGTTCAATGAAAATCAATTCTACTCAGAAAGATACTCACTATTTGAAGCAATGTCAATCAAAAGAGTTTCTTCTGCTTCTGAAGAGGAAAATAAAAGAGAACAGAATGAGGGAAATGAAAACTATTACAACCAAAAGAAATATGTTATACATATTTATA